GTATTAAAACCAGATCCTGTTAAGAGTAATGTCTACAATCTTATATATGGTAATACGTATGGAGATGGTGGTGAATTATTTAATGGTAGTAGAATAGAAATTGATGTTTTTGCAAACACTCATTCACAAGCACTTCTTCCAGTACGTCCAGGCTATATAGTAGGAGTATACATTGATCCAAATGCAGTTAATCAGTTAAGTCTAATATATGAAGACACAGCAGAAGATATTGATATTTATTATTGGGAGAATCTAACAGGACGAATGTGTGATCTTTCTTTATGTGATGCCAAAGTGATGAGAGGGGTAAGACCATTAATTGGTTGGATATTCAGTAAGTGTACATTATGTATTTTAATATTAATAAATTATTTTGTAGGGAATATTGCAAGTGAGAGCACCCTATCATCTCAAGAGAACACAATACAGTTAATAAGATCCATTTTACAATATTGTAATGAAACTGAAGTATCATCATGTGTTCTACCATCAGTAGAACTAACATTGTCTTCTACACTTATTTCATCAGCATCAATATACAGGTAGATTTATAGTACTAATGATATCTCTCTACTTATAATTTCATATGGTGCGCTTTGTAATCCTCTCCCTTGGTCCCTTTTCTTTTTCTAATAGCTTGTCTTCATTTGTGATTTCATCTCCACCTCTCTCTCCTTCTTTTCTATCAATTCCTTCATCCTCTTCTCCAACTCAAAGAGATGATGATGGTAGTGTGCTCATGAGTCAAGTATCTTTAGCTATTGGTTTAATAAATACATTAATCATAATTTTTGCAGTCATTTTATGTTCATACTGTCTGTATAAAAACAAGGCCAGTATAAAGTTAGTGATTCCTCGATCCTTTAACAAGACAAACAACACAGGTAGACCATGAATATGAAATTTCAAATTTTATGACAATAGGTGACATAACTAATTCTTGCTATGGAGTAAACAATACTGGCACCAGTGAGGATATTGTTGTATATGATGAACTAAATAGCATTAGTGATTCACAACATATGAACACAAGTTAGTTTTACTAATAATGTAAGGACTGTGTTTACTAGAAATTTCATTACATAGATACTGAGGCCAACTCTTGGTATGGAGTAAGTAATGAAAGTCAATTCCCTAGTGGTATAGAACCAGGAGCTGATGATGACTATATGTAATCAGCACATTTCATTCATTATTTTTAAAATGTAATGTTTGCTTGTTTGTTCTTTAGAGCTTAATGTACAAA